TCCTTTAGAACGGACATAAAATCACATATCTGAAGAGAAATCTAAGTTTATGAGGGTTTAGTATGAGAGAATATGGTGAGATATAGCCTTAGAACATTTGAGAACCTTGGATAGGAGTGAAGAAATGAAAAATTCGTGTAAAACCCCGTTTTCATAGAAATTTTTTGAAATTTACTGTTTACCGTCAAAATTACTATTCATCGTCAGAAACATTGTTCACCACTTTACTATTTACACCGAAAATACTGTGCACATGTACTGTACGTGTACGTGAGGTCAGGATGATGTCACTGATGACGTCAGCGGTCATTATACATACACGATTTTACTGTTAATTGATACTGTTCATATGATACTATTCACATTTTTTTAATTTTCTTTTTAAAATATAAATTCTAACTAAATATATTCTAATTATACTTTAATAAATCTCATTTTATTTAAATCAAAATGCAGGATGTTACACTTTAATACCACTCTAAGGAAAAATTGGAATCTAATTCTCAATATGACAAATGATAAATATCGTTATAATAGAATTAGGTGTTAGAATTACCTGGAATATTTGAGATTGAGGAATCCATAACTGAGTGCTTTCTTGATTGATGAGTGAAAACAATAAATAGAGATAAAATTGCCTCAATGGGCAATAGTTACTCAGAAGTGGTAAAGAACAGGTCTTTTTGGTTAATAATAAGATGGGTCCTCACTATGACTCAATCCAATAACAATAAACATAAAAATATATCCATTAATACTAATAAAATTATTACAAATTGTCGCAACTGGGCGATCATAACGGTACGGCCAAAAAAACGTGTTTAAGAAAAATATCTTTCAAGAATAAAAATATTTTTCTAAAACTATCAGAGGAGTCACCACCAAAGTTTATTTTAAGAAAACCTTGAAAAAAACTTTTAAAATAATATGATTTTTGAAACCAAAAATGAGTTTAAGAGTCATTTACGTGTAGGGAAGGTATTAATACCCTACAACATCTGTTTAAAATGGTTACCTTAAATTAATTGTGCAAATTCATCTTAATTTTAAAAAATATTTATTTAACCCCTAAACAATTATTATTATTATTATTATTATTATTATTATTATTATTATTATTATTATTATTATTATTATTATTTATTTATTTATTTATTTTAAATGAAGACAAATTATTTATTAAAATGTTAATGGATACCTTAAAAAATTATTTTAAAAATTATTTTGACTTAACGAATCTAGTTCTCGCTCCTACATATATCCGGATATAATAGGGAATTCAAAGTCACGTAGTTCTATCTAAAAATTATAAAATTAGTTGATTAAGTTTCATAAAAGAAAATTTATTTTTGAAATTAAAATTATTTTTGTAAAATTATAATGTTTAGAATACAAGATAACGCGGTTATATATGTATCCTACGAGAAATAATATAGAAAGTGAAAGAAGATCACACAACTATACTGCAAATCTTTAAAAAATATTTTATTCGTAAATGAAGTATTTAAATTTAAATTTTGATTATGATTAATGTTGAAAGAAAATTTAAAATAGCATAAGTTATACATTAATCTCTTATAATTTTGGACAATCGAAAGCAATGTAAATCACACAACGATATTTAAAAATTTGTATAATAAAATAAAAATAGAGAAATAATTAGTTATTTAATTTATCAAAATTAGAAATACGATTTAAGAAATTTTAAAATATGAAATTAATTTCATTTTAATAAAAAATAAATTTATTTGAATTGATTAAGAAAGATACTCATTTAATAAAAAGATTAAAAATTTCATTTGATAGATTTATATTATATAAAACCTAAGGTAAAATTGGTACAAATAGATTTTTGACAATTTATAACACATAAAAGTAGAGTCGTTACACATTTGCATTATAAATTATTTTATTAATAAAATAATTTAGATTTAAATTAGTTGATTGATTCGTAAGTTAGTAATTAGAAAAGGAATATATCTTGATTTATTATTAAGATGGTTAACTAATTAATTAATGATAATATATGATAAATTAATATTGCATAAAGTCTTGGTAACGTAAGTATATATAAACTTTATCAATTTATAATACATGACGATAGATAAGCTATAATTAGTATTATAAATTGATCTAATTATATTATTATTTATTAATTATTTATACAAAAAATTAAGTAATTTATTATTCACAATATAAGATAAAGTAATCATAAATATAAAATTAAATTGCATTAATATTCTACAAATATATAATAAATAAAATAAAAGATAACAATCCTAAAAAGTAAAAAACCAACATGATAATTAGGATATAAACAATGAAATATAAAAAAAAATAAAATAATTTATTGTTAATGTTAGAATGAGATAAATTAAAAAAAAATAACTCAAATATAATATTGTAAAGTAAATGGTATCAAGAGAATTAAAATAAATAAATAAAATAAAATAATTTAAACTATGCTAACATAAAAAATAATAATAATAAGAACTCATTCATTAAATAAATTAATAATTATCATAATAATAAATAATAATGATGATGAATAAATAAATAAAACTAAAACAAGAAATTGTATGTTGAGCTAAATAATAAAAAAAGTAAAAATAAAAATAAATAAAAAAATTCAGACAAAAAAATAATAAAAAATAAAAAAAGGTAAAATGCTCTAAAATTTAAAATTTTCAAATTTGAGAGGGAAGGACTTTAGGGTTAAGGGTGTGCTTTTCTCCAAGAAAAATAAAAAAAAGTTATGAAAGGGTGGAAGTGAGGTTAATGGAGTCACGATTTTGGATGGTGGAGGTTAGTGTGAGAAAAAGGAAGAGAAATGAGAAAAGGTAAGGAAGATACTTCTACGGTAAGTTTTGTGTTTGTGAATGATGATAGATGGAAGAATGTGTGGAGAGGTGGTGGAACTTAGTGTGAGAAGCAGAAGAGGAGGAAGAGTAGGGGAGAAGTTTTCATGGTAAGTTTTGTGTTTAGAGACGATGATGGATTAAGGAAAAGAAAAAAATGTTAAGTGAAGAGGTGATGAATCTTGATGCTTGAAGGTGATTTTTTTTTTAAAAAAGAAGAAAATGAAAATATGTGGTTAAATGGATGTGTAATATGCTCCTAGTAGGAATGCGTCAAGAAGCAAATTTATTTTAAAAAAATACATGATAAAACTTACTTGGACTTTTGAAGCTCTTTGTTCTTCCTCCTTTCCACTAGCTCTTTTTTTATATATATATTTTTTAGAAAAATCTCCTCCTCCTTCAAATTCTTGAACCTCTCTTTCATGGTTCCTCTCCCCTTTTATTTTAGGATTTTCATAAAATGCTAAAAATATGAAAAAATAATAATTTATGTATAAAGTAACATTGGTTTAGGAGTTTAATTATTTGTAATATTTTATTTTTTTTGAAATTAATTCTAAATTTTTCTTATTTTATTAAGAAAAATTTTATTTTTTTTCTTAAAACCCTTTGTTTCTATTCTCCTTTTATAATATTAAAATTTCAATTTTTTTAAAATAAAAAATTTTTAAATCAAAATTTTGGTGTTCACACAAATAAGCTTAATAATAATAATTATTTATAATATGGACTAAACAACATAATTCAATATTTTCGTATTAAATTAATATGTAATTAAATTAAAATTATAACAAAAATTGATTTATATCAATTTACAAATAAAATATCCGACACTTAACTTATTAATTTAAAAAAAAATCAAACTTAAACTTAAAAGCCCAACATTAATTATAGCTCAACATCCCAAATAATAAAAAAATGCTAATTTGAATGTTACATGATCAATTAATCTAGTCCATAAATCAATTTATATCTTAAAACAATTACATCTTATTAAATATAAATATAAAATTAAGCTTAACAAAGACAATGCACTCAAAAATTTAAAATTTAAATAAGGAGAGACTATATAATAAACCTCTGCAAGCAAAATTCTATAACAAATTGAACTCATTCTTTTTTTTTTTTTTTTTTACAGTTTATACTAATTTTACTTGATTAGATTAAAATCTTTAAATATGTGTTTGAGTGAGCATTTACAAACTTAAATTTGAATAAATTTGATTTTATAAAATTAAATTTACTAAAAAGTGAGTTTAAAGTAACATATTTTATGATTAAAAACTCTCTCTCTCTCTCTCTCTCTCTATATATATATATATATATATATATATATATAAAGTTTTATACAAACATGATATCTATGTTACGTGACTGTGTAGACTTGACTTCGTGAAGATTCGTTCGTTTTCATCTAAGAGCATGTTGACAAACACAAAAGACTACTCTAGTCTGAGCTTGTTGCCAATTAATATGTTATTCTTTTTTGTCGTTATATATGAATGCTAAAATTTAAATATATCTTCTGCTTTTGTTTCTTGAAAACAAAAGTAAATCTAACGTAATTTTAGAAGGAAATATTGTTGTTAATTTTAGTTCACCTTGAGTGTTCAAATTTATTTGAATTGTTACCTAATTATAGCTTATTCTATTATTAAATAAATCTAAATTTATAATTATTTATTTTCATAATAATTAAAAGCTAATTAACTGATAATTTAGTCCAAATTCAAAAATATTTATATTTTTATATAATGATAAAATAAAAAAAGAATATGCAACGTGTGAAAAATAAAATTTAAATTTTTACAGAAAATTAAAAGATAAAGTGTAAATGTAAAAATTAAAAAAAATGTCCAATATATGAATCAAATCTAACATTATTTTAATTTTCCTAAACAACAAATATTGATCCATAAATAATTTATGATATAAGAATTTAAAGATAAATATTTTTATGTGAAATTTAAATAAAAAATATATCAAATATAAAAACTAAATTTATAATTAAATACTATCCTCTTTCATCATATCACAATAAGAACATATTTTTAATATATTTTATTTGAATTTAAGGCAACTATGTAATAAAAGAATAAACAGAAACAGCGGAGAGAAGCAAAGACTAGGATGGTTCCCCAATGAGAAGCCCTTATGACCCTATCAAAGTGTGCCACTTGCCATCATTTTCCACAAAATTGCGAATCACACTCACAAAACACAACACAAAGTTTACACCAACTACCCTTTTTTCCTTTTCCGTTTTCTTCTCAAATTGTTCCCATTTTCACTTTGATTCACCCCACCAATCATGTTTTTCTTTCTGCACTTTCCAACCCCGATATCATAGCCTCTCTCTCTTGTTTGAGATCCTCTTCCCTTTTTCCATTTTCAGGTAAAAATCCCTTTTTGATGATGCCCTTTTTTGCTCTTTGATCCTGTGTGATGGTTTTGATGAACTGGGGTTGGTTGATCATCATTTCTCAACCTTCAAGATTCAATTTTGATGGGTTCTTTGTGCTGAAACCTCAAATCTTTTGTGATGATGATGTTTTTTGTGTTCTGAGCTAAACAGAGTTGGGATTTTGAGAAGTTTGAAAATTTGTTTAGGGAAAGGCTTTAGAGTGATGTTTGTGATTATGGGGGTGTGAGTAATAGGGATCCATATGCAATGGTTGATGATTTTTGGATTTGATTGTTGCTGTGTGGTTATGACTTTCAGGTTTTGGTTTGAATGGGGATTCAAACGATGGGTTCTCAAGGTAATGGGCAACAGTCTCATTTACAGCCTTCTTCTTTGTCTAGGCAAGGTTCATGGTATAGTCTCACTCTTGATGAGGTTAATAGTCAATTAGGAGATATGGGGAAGCCATTGGGGAGTATGAACCTTGATGAGCTTCTTCAAAATGTGTGGACTGCTGAAGCAAGCAAGTCTGTGATTGGCAGTGTGGAAAGCGAGAACATGTCGTCGTCGTCTTCCCTTCAACGGCAGGCCAGCCTTACGTTGGCCCGCGCGTTGAGTGGGAAGACGGTGGACGATGTGTGGAGGGAAATTCAGCAAGGACAGAAGAAAAGGTATGGAGAGGATGTGAAAAGTCAGGATAGAGAAATGACTCTTGGTGAAACCACCTTAGAGGATTTCTTGGTGCAAGCAGGGCTTTTTGCTGAAGCTTCTATCAGTCCAGCTGCAGGGTTGGACACAATGGATTCCCCTGTGCCTCAAGGTTTTCAACAGAAAATAGGCCTGTCATCCTCCCCTTCAATTGGCAGTTTATCCGACTCGAGACCGGGCCGGAAAAGGGATGCTCCTGATGCATATGAGAAAACTCTGGAAAGGAGATTGAGAAGGAAAATCAAGAACAGGGAATCTGCTGCCCGGTCCCGAGCTCGAAAACAGGTTTAGCCTTCATATACTTCATAAAGCTAATATGCTTTGGTGAATTGATTTTTTGGTTGTTTTTTTCTTTTACCAGTTGGGAATTTTCTTTTTGTCACTCATCAGTGTTTTATGGTGCAGGCTTACCATAATGAACTGGTCAACAAGGTTTCCCGTTTAGAAGAAGAAAATGTAAAGCTCAAGAAAGAGAAGGTACTGACCTCAATTCATGTTTTTGTTTTTTCAGTTGTTTATCTATTTTCTTTGGTAAGAAAATCTATTTACTTATGTATTTTTTATATTGATTTCCCTTTCTTAATTATAGAAGTTTAGGTTGTGCTATAAATTTAATGTGTTTTGTGACTAAAACTAGTTGATTGTCATGTAGTGACTTTCTGATTCCAGTGGAAGTGAAAACTTTCAATTCCCCATATTTATTGAAATTCTTATATTTTAACTGAGTGGAATGACATTTGAGATATGAATAAGTACTAAAGTGATATTCCATCATTTATTTATGAATATTAATGTCTCTTTCATTTCAACAAATAGGAACCACCTTAGGTTGAGAGTGAAATGGTACTTTTAGGCATTTAATACCATGCTATGTAAGTTTGTTAACTTCCTACCACAGGGAAAAACAGAAACATGAAACTCTTCATGGCAAAATATTGACTATAAAATATAAACCATAGTGTTCAAGGTTGAAAAAAGACATTTGTATCTTGTACCTCCTGTATATACAAAAATTCCCTTTCTGCTTATTGCCAGATTGATTTTGGTATAGTATTGAAATACGTGACTGTTCACTTGTTTAGTATATGTCAAAAAAATTCTCTTGTATTAAGTTTTATGTTACCATCTTCACTAATAGTCTGTGTGGGACTAATTTCTCTATAACCTGGGCATGTTTGTCTTTACTGGTGGTGGTCATATTTATCCGAGACTTGAGGTTGCATGTTCTATTAATGATTTGTGTTCTCCAAATGCTTATCATTCATTCCTAGCTATCCCTTGAATGAATAACTTCTATAAAATTAATAATTTGACCCCAGAGATTGCTATGATGATTCACAATACCTCTAGGATAGTGCTTAGACCTAGTTGATTATATTAGTCATCCAGTTGGGAATTTGGATATATTGCAGTTTTTCTTTCAGTAATATAGCAAGTACTATATTTTGTTACAACAGAGCTTCAAATGTATCTTATCATCTTTAGTTTGTGTGTTTTCTTTCTAGTCTTTCTCCTGATCAAATGATATTGTATATTGTTAGAGATGTCATGTAATGATAGAATACCCAACTATTCTCATTGTTTATCATAATTTTTTAATTACATTTCTAATGTATATAAATAGATTTTGTTTTCTTTTTTCAACAATGTTAGTATGATTAATGGCTAGAAATACATTTTTTGAACATTCAATTTGTAATCAGATCAGATTCAATGTTATTATCAAATTATCTTTTTACAACAACAACAACAACCAACCTTATATAATCAAATGATCTTTTTTAGTCCAAAATATTTCAAAAGAGCACATTCACATTAAAAAATTCTTTGTATGTAATCTGACAGTTTGACTAGCAGAACCCTGTTCTTGAAGGCTTCAAGATGTTCCAATTGCCTTCCCTTAGTAAAAAATGGAAAACTCCTGTGTTCTAACTCATGGTCATCATTTGCCTCCTGTTATTTGGATATTTTCATTATATTTCCTTGTGGTTAGGTGTATCGTTACAAAGAAAAAGACTTACATATGATTTTTATTGACTTTGAAAAATTATATCATTGGGGTACCAAGAGAAGTGTTATGAAAGGCTATACAAGATATGTATGAGGGGATAATTAGGTATGTCAATAGGGATAAGTTTACATCAAGGCTTCGCTTTGATCCTATAATTGACATACAAAAGATTATCCCTAAGTTTATGTTCTTTGTAGATGACATAATATTGGTTAAGAATTCACAAGATGTTAATGCTAAACTGGTGTTATGGAAGGAGACTTTAGAATCTAAGGTTTTTCCTTGGGCAGAAGTTAAAATGGAATATTTGCATTGTAAGTTTAGAAAAAAATAAGATGAGGATCATGTGTTAAAAGTTAAAATTAGAGATGATTTTATATCATAAGTTTTTAGATTTAGATACTTATGATCGATTCTACAAAATGATAGGAAATAATGAAGATGGTATTCACAAAATAAAGTTGAGTGGTTAAAGTGGAGAAAAATATCAGGAATTATTTGTGACCCTAAAGTACTTATCAATCTTAAAAAAAAGTTTTATTGTATTGCAATACGACTAGTTATCTTATGTAGTAGTAAATGCTGAGCCTTAAAGGAACAACACAAAAGAAAGTGAGAGTGACAGAAATAAATATGTTAAGGTGGATGAGTGGTTGCATGAAAAAAGATAGGATAAGAAATGATAGTATATGCAGAATATTGAAGTAACATTTATATTGGAAAAGATAACTGAAGACTTTTAGTCACGTATAGAGAAGACCTATGGAGGCACTAATGAGGAGAGTGAATTGCATGACTTTTAGTTCAGTAGAAAAGAGTTGAAGGAGATCCAAAAGAATTTTATATAAAGTTATTAAAAGAGATCTTTTAATTAATCAGATTTTTAAAAATTTAGTTTTTGACTAAGTTCACTGATGTCTGTGATCCAGACTTTATTGTTGTTGTTATTGCTTGGGATTAAGTCCCTTATGCTTTGAACTCGAAGTTGTTACTTTGACATATATTATCACTTCAAAATGAAATTGAAAATGGGGGAGAGTTACGGTTTGTTTTATGTAAATAGCTTAATTAAGTGTTTATTTAATAAACTTCTATCAGAAATTTGACTGTGAAATAGAAATAAGTTTAAAAGAGCCTGTTTTTTATATGCTTTGTAGAATTAAGAGAGAGAGAGAGAGAGCGCATAGAGAGAGACAGATTAGTGTGCTGGAATTAGATAGATACTCTACAATATGTAGAAATCCGTATATTTATAAAGATACATATGTAATCCTAACGAACCAAGTCTGTTATTATAATACTAACATAAACCCTAATCCTAATAAGTCTATTATAGCTATTCATAACAAGCTTCACCAAGATTCGTGTTGTGATGACTTAAAAGGAGCTTATAGGAGCTATAAGCCAGTTTCATAAACCCCAATAAGCATCATAAAAGCTTTCCAAATGCCCTCCGGATCAGTTAATCATAAGGTGGCAGAATAACATATGGAGAAAACTGATGACTGTATAAGAATTGTTTGACTTTTTCTTTATATTTGTTGGTAGTAGGAATAAGATGGAGCATATGAAATGCAAGTGTATTGAGGCACAAATTAGCAACAGTTGGGTGGTATGCTATATTGTATTTTCCATTTTACAAAGTGATAGGGAAATTGGTAGGGATGTCGCTCATTGGATTCAAGCAAGGTGGATGAAATTGTGCAATGAAGAAATGTTTTATGTGCAATTTCTTATTACAAAGTTCCTATCAAAGAAAAAAGTTGTTGTAGCTATAAGTCCAATGATGAATGCTAAGCAATGAAGTGCCAATGAGAGCAACAATTTGTTTGGATGGAGAGAAAGAATGGGGAAAGGGAAGGAAAGTAAAGAAAAGTTCTGTATTTGAATGGGGAAGGCAACAGGGGAGAGGGATTTTTTTTGGTGGGCCCTACCATGAAAAAAAAAATCCTTCCATTTTGAGAAGAAATAAATAGCAGGGGAGGGGGGGGGGGTTGGCAGGAGAGAGGAACCTTTTTCTTTTTTCTTTTTTAATTTTTAAGAAATATTAAATTAATATAAAAAATAAAAATAGTTTTTTATCAAGTAGAATATTATTATTAAAATGTTAAAAAATTAGCTTAATTTTTCTTTTTTATAATTATTTTTAATGCAATTCAATTATTATTTTTTACTCTCTTTTCTATTCACTTAAACAAGCGGGAAGAATTTTGTCATTTTTTCTCTTATTTCAACTTATTCAAATATCAAATATTTTTTACTCTATTTTCACTCCATTTTTCAACTTTCTATTTTTTTTATTTTTATTTTTAAATTTTAATATATTAAAAAATATAGAAATAAAAAATAATTTTTTATTAAGAAATAATATATATTAAAAAATTTAGATTAATTTAAACTTTTATAAATATTTTTAATATAAATTAATTATTTCTTTTCACTTTTTTACTCATCCTAACAAGTAGAAAGAATCTTTTATCTTTTCTTTCATTCTTATTTTAACTTATCCAAATATCAACTCCTTTTTACCCTATTGCTTATCTTTCTATTTCTTTTCCTTTTATTTCTGCCCTCTCTCTATTACACCTCGCATCCAAGTGGAGTCCAAAAGATGAACATAATGCTAAGGCAGATGAGTTGACAAAAAAAAAAGATAAGGTTTAGAATGAATGTATCTGGGAGATGGAAGATGGATCTGATAATCAATCTCATCTAATGAAATAAGGTTCAATTGTTGTCGTAATTTGGTGCCTATTGCTTATTGGTCTGAATATTTTGGACTTAGTAGGGCAGCAAAGAGAATAGTAAATTTACTGTGCTTGAATGTAAATTTTGGCACATATCTTCCTGTTATAATTTGCATTTGGGTGGAAAATAAGTTTGCATACTAACATCTCTCTTAGCTTCCTTTGACAATTTTGCATATTCAATGAGAATAGACACATTTTTTGGGAAACAACCTTTTCACCTGGTTACAATGCACTTTTATTTTAAAATTTGTAATTGTTTCCTTCCCTTCTACTAATAAACTAGGACAAGTCGAAATAAGCTGCTAATAAACTAGGGTGATTTGGTATAAGCTTCTATTGAATATAGATTTATTTGGGAGTAGGGATTATATTTGCATACAAGCTGCTTGTTCTATCTTATTATGCGCAACTCTCAAACCAGTTAATATAATATAGTTTTAAAGAAGGAATTTGGTGTAATTTGAAAATTATTGGAGTTTTGAGAAGTCAAGCCGGTGATGCTTTTGTACAAGAAGATATTATTGGAACTAATATCGAAAGTTGATCGATATTTAACTATTATTTTAAGTATGAAATTCATGGTGTTTCATGCTAAATTTTGAAGGCTTAAATAAGTAAATAGTCCCTAAAAATATGCCTTTTTTTAAATTAGTCTTGCTGTGTTCTGATGTTGATTTTATGACAAGCTCATTGTATAATACCTTAGCCAGGCCGATGATTGATGCACGGTTTTATGTTGAAAATTTGATATTTGTGCACAGTCGCAAAATTCCTGATTTCATATAGTACTTTCCCCCTTTAATAGGAGTTTGAAGAAAAGTTACCGCCCGATACATTGCCTGAACAAAAATATCAGCTTAGAAGAATAAATTCTGCCTCATTCTGATTCTGACACATGACCTGTGATGAAGTTTTCTTGTTCACCGTGTTCTTGATTTATTGGGGACATGTCCAGAATTGCATCATCACTGCATTGCTCACTGCTACTGCAACTGGTGTTGTATTGATCAGGTAGGAGAGTTTGTTCTATATTTACAATTAACTAACTAAAGGGTACATATTGCTGCAAAGGTTTGATGTTCATAAGCTTTAGCTTTGCTTGGAAACAGTATCAGGAAATATGAGTCAGGTGGAAGGGTTGCCTTTTTGTATAATGAATTATCTGTGTGTACTGAGGCTCCTATTAGGCAGTAAGTTATTGCATGGTGACTACCAGAAAAGCTGAAACTAGGTAAGGTAGGTCTTGTTTGCATTTCTGAAATGCAATATTGTATTAAACTAAATTAATATATGTTGGTACGTATTAGGGGAAAATCCAGTTATGGAGAAATAGTGTGGTCTGTAGAGATAGTGTTGAGAAAAATGATATAGCAAATGAAAAGTTTATTTATATTGATGTTTTATAGTGCAGTTTGCCACCATGAACATGTGACTTTTTTATTCGAGTGCAGCTTAATTTTGGGAAATAATCCTGTTTTTGGAAAATATTTAGTTTTATTTAAAAGCTTTACGAGGAAGCTGCAAATAAATAAATAAACCAACAATTTGCCAAATTAAGTGAGGTCCAAACAAGCACTTGCACTAATTTTGAACATGGAAGCACTATAAACTTTGTTCATTGTTTTGCTTTCCTTCTTTTCCACCTGGCTTTGATGCCTAGTATCCATCTTCTTATGGAGAGTTTTGCTGGGCTGGTGTAGAAGTCTAAGGATTCTGCAGAACACAACAGATACGCATCTTCAAGGCCATTGATATCGTGTTAAACTTTTTCTTACCTTTGTGAGCCTATATTAATGGGTTGAAAGAGAGTTGTTTTTGTTGAATATTTTAATTCTGAATGTTTTCCATACAATAGAAGTGCTAGAAATTCATTCTCTAACAATTTTTGTAATTGATTGAAATTTATAGGAAATTACAAAAGTATAAAGTATAAGTGATAATCGTTAACTTAGAAGTGCCACGCATATAATTTAAATAAATTTTAATTAACAATAAAAATATGCTTTAAAAGAGTATGATGCTAGTATTTGATAAACTAAATTTACTTTTCTGTTTGAGACTTGCGTCATGGCTGTTTCTTGCAATTATCAATACGAAATCTGCAAATACAAAATATGTGAATTGTAATTGACAAGTGGGAGTTTATTTCCTTGAGATCTTGGTAGAGTTGATTTTAAGGGAATCAATTTTTAGAGTGAATTTTGGTAAAATTTGGAATTATATTATAAAAGTGAAGAATAGAAGAAGTGTTTTGGTTTCAAGAGAATAAAGTAAAAGCACTTTTATAGAAGAAAGTACTCAAGGATATAATAATATAATATCAATAAAAACTATGATGCAATTGCACAACATGACAAATCATGGGCTATCAAGTAAAAAGCCACATCACATTTCATTTCCAAAAAGGAAAGCAAGGTTCAGGATCAACATGCTGAATGCGTGTGCACAAGAGATCCATTGAATGCATGACTTCACCCAAATGAAGAGGCTACTTTTCCACCATGCCCTTTTACTTTTTAATGCTAACACCGTTTTAAAAGGCTGAATTTTAAATCAAACAACTGCTAAAATTTTTCATTTTCTCATTTTCGATTACCTTCTATAAAAACAAACATAGCTTTATTGATCATGATACTTACATCGAAGGATGAATCCAGGGTATATATATATAAAGATCTTATATATGTGTAATTTTAAAAATTCTTTTCCTGGCGTAAGAAAATCTTGCCATATATATATATATATATATATATATATATATATATATATAGTGTAAAAGTATATTTATATAATTTAGACTTTAGTAATATAATTATGTATATTTAGAAGATCAGTACAATTAATGGATAATTACATTCTGGGTATATTATTGATTGTTAATGAAATTATATTTATTTCAATAATACATTTCTTAAAAAATTAATTTCTAACAACTAACTAAAATATCTTTTGTACGTGTCAAAATATATAATTTATTTATCAAAGTCTTAAAACGTTTGCTTGAGGAAAACATGAAGCAAACGTTGGTTTTTTTATTTCGTTTGGTAACAACGAATCAAAGTCAAGTTTATTCCTAAGAGCGTGTTTAACTAGAACTTATAAACAAGTTGCTGATCATTTTTACTAATGCCGGACAGTTCACTAGTGAAAGTAAACGTAATTAAATGTATAAACACTTCTAAAGCCAAGATTAAATTATCGTTGAGGGCCAAATACTGCTTACAAATCACTATGTTTAAAAGAGCTGAAAAAGTAAATTGTTTCGATCATCGATTACTCAAAATAAGTTGTGTTTTAATAATATTGAGAATTAATTTTAAAATAATTTATTTTATTTAAATTGAATAAAATAATCACTATTTCTAAAGTGAAATTACAAAAAAAAAAAAGAGAGGATAAGAGTTAGTTATTAAGGACAAAATGAGAAAATAAAAAGTTAATTAAACAATAAACTAATTGCTTTCAACCAAGAGCTTCAAAATTTTGCTCATCTGAAATAAGTTGTTTCCTTTTATAAAGCAAATTAGTAAAAAATTATAAGCTGATCTTTTAAAAATTACCAAACAAGATTGAATTGGGTCTTTTTAAGCATTTTACAAATAATCATCCAAAATAATCTAATCCAAACATACTCAAGTAGTACAACTTTATTGCAGTTAGTGTAGGACAAGTAAAACACCAAGGCCTCGCATAAGGAAAAGGAATGTTGCCCATAAAGATGAGTTAGCTCTCTTTAAATGACCTGAGCTTAGTTTGAGTTATATGAGATTAAAAAAGAAAGGCTACATTTGGAGACAATAATTTGATACTTTCATTCAAAAATATTGAAGCAGTTAAACATCTAGTGCTGGATCTCACAACAATAGACCTTTCAGAAACCTACTCAGGATGTGATGGATTCAACACGTGGCCTCCACAATCCTAGCCTATACTTGTGAGTGTGCTTCAGTATCAACTTTCTCTGCATGGAAGATTATAAATGTTAGTGTGTGCATGTGGAGTAATCAATTATTTGCCATCTTATACTAGGGTAGTAGAACTATCATAATGGATACATTCCAAAGAAAAAACAAAATCCACTTTGCACTTTATTGTCTATCAACAGTTCAAATAATTTTGGATTTACGACATTGCAAGTTGCAAAGAATGATCAAAACAGGAAATCACCTTTCACTTCCAGGTACTTTAGGGGTCAATAACATACTCCATTATCTCTCACTTCCACATACACGCAAGCACAAAACAAATAGCAACAACAATAACTAAGCCTTTTTCCATTAGGTGGAGTGAGCTACATGGATCAATGACACCATCATGTTGTCTTAAATCATGTCTATAGACAAATAATTGACCTCTAAATCATTACTAGGGCATGTACGAATCTCTACACATGTCCAAACCACCTACAGTGAGACTCTACCACCTTTTCTACAGAAAGGTGCTACCAAAACTTTACAAACCATATAATACTTTACTAGGTGTTATAACAGCTTACTGAAGCTAGTTTTCTGGTTGCAAGCTAATGGGGTAAATTTATAACACATCCAAAAACTATTAATTAAAATATATATTATGTTGGTCAAATTTTCTTAGTTCAATGATAGGAACTGAGATTTATATTGAAATAACAGAACAAAACACAGGGAAGACCCTGGAATTACAAGAACAAACAGCAATACAAAAAACAGAATGCGAACTCCTATAGCCTCAGCTATCCTTCCAATAACCACCCAGATAAAAATCCCCCCCTTCTCAATTGTGCGACCCCCATATATTCCCTCTCACTCCACACAATCTCTCCCTTCCTCCCCTTGCCACGTCCGCTCGTCTGTTAGATTGTTAGCATCTTGCCTAACGGTTTTCTGAATTGACTTCCCTATTCTGCCCCTCTTTCTTTGGTATGTTTTTAATGGGGGTCCCATTGGTTTAGACCCAACATTCAATCTAGTACATTCATGCTTTTGAAACCATACAAAACCAGTTAGAGCGGTAACACCATGAATAATAAAAGTTTTTTACATTACAGCACAAGACCAATTTACTTGCCTGTAAGTCAACAATGAAATGAATGAAACAAGAATTTCATATCAGCATCCAAGTGTTTACTATTATATTTTAAAATTTTGTTCTGTTGTATATTTGTTTCTCCTTGACATTTCGTTTTATTTATAATCCATTATACTAATATCTAATAATGACTTGTAACATAAAAGAAAGAACAGAAATTACAACAAAATAAATTGATATTTACATTGATGAATCTATACCATCCATGACTTGCAAAAACAAATACAAGTTTCTGCCTTATCAGCGCTTTCTACTTTTGTCTTCTATTCCTTCCTTTCATGGTGTTATATAAATTACTATTAGCTTTTGCAAAGCTGATTGAACAAACTAAAATTTGGATGAACTCAAATAAACATTGATATATAAAACCCATGGACATTTGCTGACTTTTGTCCAAAACCAAACTGATAATTGCTACAACATCCAACTGATGGACATATGCTACTTTTTACACAACTTATTTAACTTATTTTGCACTCATTTAATGGCTGATTTATGACAATCCAAGATGGCTCAAAAGTCAAAATAAAGATCCAAATTCCATTGTTTACTGGCCTAAATTGTATTATTAGGTATGCTTGGACTTGGCAGAAACTGTAGATACTCTGCCATCAGTAAACCTGTGAGATTTTCTTTCCTAAGGCTCATTCTACATTTTGGCCAACGTATGTTGATAGTATTTAACAGGCAAATGAAAGATAATAAAAAACAAAATCTATTAGAGAAAAGATAGTGATGACGACTTGTAACAAGAACAAGTGTAAAAAATAAATCCTGATTAATTTGATAATCAAGGAAATCTTTGTTGTTTTCCTTACAAATCACCCCTCCCCGAAAAACAAATCTTTTATAGGGTATGATAGATGAAGGTGTTTCAAAAGGAAAGGAAGGGCCAGATTAATTTCTTATTTTGAGTGAACTGTAGCCAGTCTTAATTTGAGAATTTTTTAAAATGAAAGGAATTAAATGAAAGATTATCATGTAACCTTCCAATCATCCTCATTTATTTTTAAATAGTTTATAACACCCACAATCTAGAGGGGGGAAACTTTCCTCCACTTTCCTTTCAAAGCCTCCATTCAAATATATCATCAATGTCTACAAAATTTAGTTTTATGTTAAAAGCAATGATATAATTATAACCTTCTAGGTTTTAAGTTTAATCACCCTCACCAAGCATCATTTCTTCAAACATTTCCTACTTTTACTCCTACTGTTGGTAATGTTGAACAAAATTTCCTTCCTCTATTGATTATTTATTTTCCAAAACATCTGAGGGGGTTGAACATGTTGGAATTAAATTATGCTATTATATTAAAAAGGCCATCACTTTATTTAATAAAGCTTAAAGTTAAAAAAAATATAAAATAAAGGTAAAGTTTCCAGGTTGCTAGGTGATTCCTAAGACTAACATCAAAATGTCACACTATGATGAAAATCAAGGAAGATCCATTGAAGATAAAGACTTGAAGATATTAGAAGGACTTTAAGGACCAATGATAAGCACAAGGGTAAAAAGAATAAATGAAGACTTAGAAAAGATTGTTGCTGTTCTAATTGAAAGAGAACTTAATTTGGAGTTAGAAAAGTCCAAGATGGTCAATTACATATGCTTAGAGGATATGAACTCTAACGAGTTTTATTAGGATTTAATTATTATGTTTAGTTTATTTATTTTAATATTGGTCATTACTTATTTTGAATTTTTATTTAGGATGAAATCTTGTTATTTTATTTAGTTTATTTGAATTTAGGCTTGTTGGTACAAGAAGCCCATTAGGGTTTGCTTTAGTATTAGTTTACAAGCATTAGGGATATATAAGCTCTTATATACACACTTTTAATTAGTTTTGAATACAATTTGAGATTAAATACTCTTGTGAGAGCGTGTGACTCTAGGTTCTTAAGTGAGCCAATTTTCTTTGATCTTATCAAGAGGCTAAGACTCTTGTGGCGATCGTTTTTTGGCTTATCAATCTTGCGATTGTGGTGCCATTTTCCATCTCTATTCTATTTTCACTTTTTATTAATTTTCTTCTTATTTCAATTCCTATTTGTTCCATAATAATTTCGTTTTTATTGTGTGAAATCTAATTCAAGATCGTTTAATTCGGCGACACAGTTTGTGGTTGTTATCAATTGGTATCAGAGCCTAGGCCAAAGCCGGTGGACCTTATCGGCGTATCTGTGGCGGCTTAAGTGCCTTATCAGTGCGTCTGTGGCGGACTCTCTCGAAGAGGGAGGGGATGATGAGTCCCACATCGGTTGGAGGGAGTGACTTATCAGTCTTTAAATAGTTGTGGCGTCCTTTCTTCTAGCATGAGGCCTTTTCCTAGTGTGTCATATCTGGGAGAAACAAAACCGTGAGGGGTTAACCCCTAAAGCGGACAATATCATGCTAACCGGTGGACTGGGTCTATGTTATCACACTAGAAGTGGCAATCGGGAAATGACATATAAAAGCTACTAGCAAGACAAGCTCCGGTGAAATGTTAACAATGCAGACAATCAACAGATGTTTACAGTAATTCTATGTGAACAGAAACATAAAATCTGCAAACATAAGACATGTGAACCATAATTGATAACTTTTTTTGTAAATATAAATGAATTCCATATGTGTGACTGTGCTTTTATACCAAATAAAGGAAAAGTAAAGATATCGAGAGATTACATGTTTGCAAGGAATACCAAGCTTCTTGAGCTTCAGGGTACGAGTGACAAGAAGATTCTGAAAATCACCAATTTCAGACTCAAGTTTAGCAACATGGGATTCAACCCCTTTGCCTATTCCATTAAGAAACTCTGGTATTCCAACCTTCACTGCAGCAACAGAAAAAAGATTATAAACTAATTCTACATTGTTAAAGAGAAAGAGGGAAAGAAACATTATCTTAGTTTCTGACTACAATAAGGAAGGAAAAGAAACATTTTGAGATATTGGAAAACTTGATTCAGTCATTAGAAGCTTGTATGAAGTTTCGGTTTTTTTTTTTTCCCCCTTTTCTAACAAGAAGATGGCAAGAACAACAAGAATTCGTCCAAAGTTATAAAAATACTGAACATTTTTTTTATTTCTTGTAATGACAGTGAGCACTCATTATATGCAAGAATCGCATTTGCAACCATTTCCAGGCATAGATTAGATTAAAAAGAAAATGAAACTCAATACTTTACTCTCTTGAGCTTTCTTTGCCAAAAGATTCTGACAGAAAAGGTTCAATTAAGTTTTTTTGATCCTTATATTGTTATTATTCCTTACTTTTTCATTTTTCTCACACTCTTCCTTCCCACATCTAAGATTTCCACATCAACAGCCCAAAACAAGCCATTATTCAAAAAAATTAGATGTAGCTCATAGTTTAAGGAACCAAACAAAAACAATAATTGTTTTTTTAAAAAAAGGGTCGAAACAAATTATATTAAAAAAATAAAAATAAATAAAAAATGATAACATTTTCCTTCCCATTTTTTATATTTGTTATTCCAATTTATCAGCAACCAAACGATGCCTACCGAAGCAGAATGCTTCACTTCTTTAAACTCGTAAAGTTTTCAAATTTCTCACCCAACCCAATTCAGAATCACAACCCAATTTTCCTTTCGATCAAACGGAGAAGAAAAACACGTGGAATGGGTAAGAGGCGTACCCACATATGGTGATGATTTGGAGAAGAATCTGGAGAAACAAGTTGAAAATGGTGTTTGGGTTGACACAGAAATCAAGCCTCTGTTAATGCTGCTTTGCAACCATGCCATATTGAAGTGCCAAACAAGGGAAAATAGCTCCAAGTCTCCAACTTAAGCAATCACGACGGAAGCAAACCCTATAAGGGTTTTGTGTCCAATTTTTCAATCAATCTTGTGAATACCATATATTATTTTTATTTTCTAAATTACTTATATTTATTTAAAACATTTCTATAATGCTCCAAATATTATAACAATGGTTGTATTATACAACTTAATGGTAATATTATAGCGTTTAGTTTAAAGTTAAATAAAATTAATTTAAATTGCTAAATATTTTTCAAATGTGTATCAATTAATTTAAATTATATTATTTTAATTAAAATGTGTATTTTATTTTCAAAATGTGAGAATTTAATCTTTAACTATAAAACAAACGGTTTATAAATATTGTTTTAAAATATAATTTTGATGAAAAAGTGCATTTTATTTTTAAAAATGTGATAATTTAATCTTTTAACTATAAAAGAAACAAGTTCTAAATTTTATAACATTAAATAAAAAGCAACATAAGCATTTGAATTCACTTTATAGTTATAAATTTAAAATTCCATACAACATTCGGATAAAATGCAACTTATTTATAATATATGAAAAAATATATAAAAATTTAACAAAAACAAATGGTTGATGATATATATATATATATATTGGATTAGATTAATAAAAAAAATTTAATACGTATGAATTAATTATTTATCTAAGTCATGCTTCGAGAGAAAAAAATATGCTACCTCAATTTTATAAAATATAGAATAATAATCAAACATTCAAAGAAATTGAATATATATATATATATATATATATATATATATATTATAAATTAATTGATTAATTTTATCAAACACTTTGCACTTTTGGTTAACTTCCTTGTATCTTGAGCACTAACTAATTTTTTGAGTATATTTCTTTGCTTATAAAAATATATTTGATATATTAAGAATTAATTTGATGAAGTCAAAATTAAACTATTTTTGGATTTATATTTAGTACTTTTTAAAAGTTATTTAACACTAACATATATAATGTCTTAACTATATTTTAAAATAATCAATGTTTTTAAATTTCATCTAAGTTGTGAAATATTTTAAAATTTTTAATTCAAATTCTACGAAATAATTATTGTTATTTTATATATTATAGAATCAAATGAAAAAGAAATATATCTTAAAGAATTCAAAGAGTATGAAGACCAAAAGTTAAAAAAATTTTTTTTTTTTTAATAGTCAAAGTGTTTGTTGACGGAAAAAAAAAGGAACAAACTTCTAACTATGAGGGCACTTGGTGCTTGAGTTGCTAATTTATTTTGCACATTCCAATGCTTATTATTAGATGTTGCAATGTTAAATTATGCATAAATGTTGTTTAAAACTTGTTGCTAGTTTTCTAAAGCTCATTTTAGTGTCTTAATACCTAAAGAGACTATAAACTTTGTAAATAGATTTTATGAGAGTAATTTTTTATATATAAAATTATTTTTACATTTTTAAAATTTTCTTACTTTGAGTTTAGATTTTCTATCTTACTTTTCAGTCACTTTTTCTTTTATTTCTTTGACATTTGAAAGAATTCTTTATTTCTTCGAGTCATTATGTAATTTATTTGTTTGTTTTTTTATTAATTATGTTATATTTTTTGCACGTAAGTGTGGCTAGTTTTATTTTATATTAGGATGAGATAAACTTTTGTTTAAATCTCTTATATTACCAATAAATTTTTATTTTTATTTACTTTCTTTTAGTTAATACATTCTTAGTTTTGCTCAACTTTAGAATAATGTTAAATTTGATTTCATAATTGAAAAATTAGTGTTGAGTTTGATATGAATGATTCATCATAGTTATAGAGATGTTAAGAAATTTGTTCAATGACTATGCAATTTGCCTGAGTTCTTGAATTATAATGCAAGTGTTTATAAGAGTGACTTCTAATCCAAATTGCTTTTGTTATTTAAATTTTTAATAATTTTTGTAAAGTGTTTTGTGATTGTTTCTTTTATTCATAAATAGAAAAAAATTACTGCACTTTTATTTTATTTTCTTCAAAGCATGTCATTCCATTATTTTGTGAGCTCAAATAGAAATTTGAAAAACAAGTAGTTATACTTTGACCCAATCTTTACCAATTAATATGAACTCTACTCATTAAAACAATTGGTGCTTTTTCTCGTGCTATTTGCATATGTAAACTAACTGAACAAAAAATACACATCATAATTTATAAAGCAACATAAGCATTGTATTCACCTTCTTATAATTGAAAAACTAAAAAATCGTATAATAATTTGCACAAAATATAACTTGTTTATCATATATGAACAAAAACTGAATACCAATATATATATATATATATAAACAATGTTAACAAAAACATATGAGTGCTTCAAAAATTCGCGAAACTTTTTATTTATAGAAATTAAATTTAAGGTGTTACAACTTTCTTATAATTGGAAATCTAAAAGTTTGTATAATAATTTGCACAAAATATAACTTGTTTATTATATATGAACAAAAACTGAATACAAAATATATATATATATATATATATATAATCAATGTTAACAAAAACATATGGTTGATCATATATTTCTAATATAATAGAATCTAAATTTTTAATATGAATGAATTAATTGCTTAATATTAAGAGGAAAGTATGCTTGACTTTTGCTAAAACATTCCTTTGCATATATTTCATTTACAGCTTTTGCATAGAACCATAAAAGTAATATACCTACTGATTTTCACAACGATTTTCTCCTTACTCAACACATGTGTAAAAAATATTAGTCCCTAAAAATATCGTGATAAAAAAATAAGATATAATTATGATTTTAGAAAATAGTCACATGACAAGTTTTATTAGATTAATTATTGCTCACCAAATTTTTATGGTATTTTTAATTACTTTGTATAAGTTGTAAATGTAAATGGTAATGAATTTTGAATATGGAAGTTGAGTTTACAACTCTTAGAGCATTTCATGGAGTTTGTCTAAGTAAGGTTTAATCCTCTCTTTTTTTTCATTTTTTCTTTTATTTTTAGACATTTTGAAGACTTCTTTGTGTCTTTCCAAGTCACTATGTAATTTATTGATTTATTTCTTTTGCATTATTTACATTAGGTTTTTCATACGTATGTATGGCTAGTTTCACTTTATATTATAATGAGATGAACTTCTGTTTTAATCTCCTAAAATATCAATAAATCCTCATTCTTATTTACTTTCATTTATGTAATTAGGTGAGTTTCTCTGCTTTTAATGCATTCTTTGATCTGACCAAGTCTAGAATGATGTTAAACTTGATTTTACAAATTGAAAATTGTTGTTGAGTTTGATATGAGTAGTTCATCATCGTTATTAACATGTTGAGGAATTCGTTCGATGATTATACAATTTTTCTAAGTTTTTTAATTATAATGCAAGTGCTACTTAGGCTAGGCTAAGGAACTAGGAAGTTTTGGTTGATTGCTTTGAGATTTTTCGTCTAAGGAATTGGAGTCGACTCAACCTAAGAGAATGTCACCTTCATTGCATGAGAAGTAAAGTAGATGAGATAGCTTTGAATATAAAAGAGACAAATAGAAGTGAACCCAATCTAAACCACTTTTGTTAAGTGCAATGCATGTCATTCCATTACATTGTGCGCTCAAAAAGAAATTTGAAGAAAAATACTGGAATTTTGGCCCAATTCTCATAGATGAATATGAACTAATCTCATTAAAATAATTGGTGCACTTGCTAGTGCTATGTGCATTTATAAGCAGACTGAACAAACAATACGCATCATAACTTAAAAGAGCAACATAAGCATTGTATTCACCTTTTTATAATTAAAAATCTACAATTTTTTTATAATAATTTGCGCAAAATACAACTTATTTATCATATATGAACAAAAAATGAATACAAAAACTTATAAAGAATGTTAACAAAAACAAATGGTTTATCGTGTATTTCTACTAAAATAGAATATAAATTGTTAATGGGAATGAATCAATTGCTTAATATTAAAAGGAAAGCACGTCTGGTTTCCGCTAAAGCATTCCTTTGCATATATCTCATTTACAGCTTCGGTGGTGTGCGCAGGATCATAAAAGTAATATAGCTTCCGATTTTCACAAATTTTTTCTCCTTGCCCAATGCATGAGTCAAAAACATTGGTGATCCCTAAAAGCATTGTGTTAAAACAGTAAGAATGTGTATTTATGATTTAAGTAGAAAAAGTCACATGACAATATTTTTTGAGATTAATTGTTGCTCACCAAATTTTTCAGGGGAATTTCTAATTACTTTGTATAAGTTGTAAGTGTCCATGGTAATGAATTTTGAACTTGGAAGTTGGGTTTGCAGCTCTTGGAGAGTTCCATGGAGTTTGTCTGAGTAGGGTTTAATCTTTTGATTAATATCTTCATTGCAATATTGGGAATGCAATGTTCTAATAATCAAACCAGGGATGCACCCAACTGGACCAACGCTAACAATCACAAACTTTCGTGCTCCTAGATCATAAATTTTCTAAAATTTAAGGGTAAAGAAAAGGTAGATTAGTAAAAGAGAATGTGAAGTATTATAAAACGTATACATTTTGTCATTTGATCATGTCAACTCAAATAATTCATTGAAAATTACCTTTATATGTGAAGTAAATTGCTTTAAGAGGAAATTTGCATATTCTTCGGGATTGACGTTGTTAGTTCCCATAACATTTCTCAAATAACCCAATGTGTAATCATTAGCTCCAATTGATAGTAGATATATGGATTTGGATAAGTAATGCCTCAATTTTATTTTGTTAGGCAAAATTCTTGGAAGATCATTCTCCACAGTTGAGGTGAAGTATTCAATTTGTTTGTCTAATGACAAGTATTCTCCCTTATACACATGAAAATAAATAAGTAAATATAGTGAGTAACCCACAATTTTTAAATTGATTAACAGAATGATATATTTTCTTTTTTTCTTCCACTTACATCTCCAGTTGAATTCAGGATTCCAGATGAAGCTGATGCATAGTTAATTCCTGTGGCTATTTGATATCTCTCAGTTTCAGAAACACCCAAGTATGGAGGTGGCATCGGTAAACCCAACCTAATAGCT